AGGTGCCACTAGGCCTTTTCCCCAGCACAGGAGAAGTACTTGTTCTTCTAAGCTCCTCTCCATCTTCACCTTTTCTGGTTTGCTGGCTTATTTTTTAGAAGAATTTACTTTGGTCTTTCCCAGTTCCCTCTGGTCAATTCTGCTCGGTATGTTGTGCACTTTCACTTGCTTTTTTTTTTTTTTTTTAACAACAATTACTCACAGGAGCAGATATATCTGCTTTCTGGCACAAACCTTGAGGATACACAAGTGACAGATTTACCAGAACTTTTTTAAATAGGTCTTCCAGGTAACAAGTAAATGCATATCTATCTCTCCAAGGCTCAAGCCAGGCCTGCTTCTCCAGCCAAACTGCTGCAGACTGCCACACAATGTCCTGTCCCCAGAGCCATTCTTCCTCTCTTCTGCTGCCAGTAAAGAAAGAGCAAGGAGTTTTACATCTTAAGGATTCTATTGTTAATTGTTCCTGGGAAACAGGAAATAGACAACCAAATAATGAACATGGAAAAGTCAAAGTTCACAAAGTTCTATAGTAGGAATGGTTAACCCTGAAATACTAGAGGGTTTCAAGTTAAGACTTAGGGTGTCTGAAGGCTTGATTGGCTTTCCCCAATCACACACACAAAGACACGTGCAGGTTGTTCAGTTTGTGATTTTTTTTTTTTTTTGAGACAAGTCTCACTCTGTCACCCAGGCTAGAATGCAGGGGCACGATCTTGACTCACTGTGACCTCCGCTTCCCGGGTTCAAGTGATTCTCCTGCCTCAGCCTCCCAAGTAGCTGGGATTATAGGCGTGCACTACCACGCCTGGCTAATTTTTGTGTTTTTAGTAGAGACGGGGTTTCACCATGTTGGTCAGGCTGGTCTTGAACTACAGACCTCAGGTGATCTGCCCACCTCGGCCTTCCAAAGTGCTGGGATTACAGGCGTAAGCCACCGCACCGGCCAGTTCATGATTCTGAACAAGCTCTTAACTAAGCTTCGAAGCTCTAGTTTCCTCATTATACAATGGTGAAGACCCCCACCTCATCATGTTGTTGAAAGGATTAAATAAGATATTATACATAAGTTCTCAGCACCAGACTAAGCCCACAGGACAAAGGAGATAAAAGGAATGCATGGTTGTTCACCTGGAATCTTTCTTCACCTGTTCTTAACAGGACACTTCAGTCAAAATAGCTTGTGATTCTTTGACTCAAAAAGTAATGCATTTCCAACAGCCAAAAGCTGGAAATAACCCATATGTCCATTGACAGAAGAATAGATAAACAAAATGTAATAGAAACATACAATGAAATATTATTCAGCCTTAACAAGAAATGGTATCTCGACATATGCTACAACACAAATGAACCTTGAGGCTGTTATGTTAAGTAAAATAAACCAGTCACAAAATGGCAAATACTGTATGATTCCGTTTGTATGAGGTACCTAAGAGTAGTCAAATTCATAGAGCCAGAAAGGAGAATGGCTGTTGCCAGGGACTTGGGAAGAGGGGCAGAGGGAGTTACTGTTTAATGGGCACGAAGTTTCAGTTTTCCAAGATGAAAGAGTTCTGGGGATGGATGGTGGTAATGGTTGCACAACAATGTAAATGTCCTTAATGCCACTTAACTGTGCACTTAAAATGATTGCATAATAGTAAAGCCTATTACATGAGTCTTCAGAGGAAGATGCGAGGCAGTTTGGTACAGGGGTTAGAGAGCTAAACTTGGGAAAGACCTGACCCTTTCAGTTTGTCAGTTACTTCTTCAATCAGAGGTCAGTGTCTTGTAACAGTGTTGCATAAACACCAAAGCACAGTCCAAAGGCAGGCTAACTATCCCTCATCTGAGATGCTTGGGACCAGGAGTAATCTGGATTTACAAATTTTTCAGATTTAAGAATATTTCCATTATTCTCACTGGTTGAGCATCCTAAACCTGAAAATCTGAAAATTGACATGCTCTATGATCATTTCCTTTCAATGTCGTGTCAGCACTCAAAAAGTTCTGGATTTTGGAGCATTTTGATTTTCAATCTTCTGATTAGGGACACTCAACCTGCAGCAGGCATCTTTAACGGATTTTTTTTGCAGAGTGTTCCCTAAATCACATTGCTAAATCTTGTTATTCTTTTAAAATCTAAGCCTATCACACAAGAGCATGAAGATAATATGTTCAGGCATGCTCCCTGTAAGCACTGATTGTCATAGTAAATGGTTAAATAAATGTCAATGCATCCACACAACTAAATATTATTCGAGCCTTCAAAAGATTAAGACAAGGCCAGCCTCAGTGGCTCACACCTGTAATCCCAATACTTTGGGAGGCCTAGGTGGGAGGATCACTTGAGCCCAGCAGTTCCGGACCAGCTGGGGAACATAGTGAGACCCCCATCTCTAAGAAAAATAAAAATTAGCCAGTCATGGTGGCACACGCCTGTAGTCCCAGCTACTTGGGAAGCTGAGGAAGGAGGCTTCCTTGAGCCCAGAAGGTCAAGGCTGCTATGAACTGTGATCACATCACTGTACTCCAGCTGGGGTGACAGAGCAAGTTCCTCTATCAAAAATAAAATAAAATGAAATAATAAGACAAGAAGTGCCCCAAAAAGGTATCCATAATCTATTATTAAGTTAAAAAAAAAAAAAAAAGACACCATGACTGAGCACGGTGGCTCACGCCTATAATGGTGGCTCACGCCTCAGCACTTTGGGAGGCTAAGGCAGGCAGATCACGAGGTCAAGAGATCAAGACCATCCTGGCCAACGTGATAAAACCCGTCTCTACTAAAAATACAAAAATTAGCTGGACGTGGTGGTGTGTGCCTGTAGTCCTAGCTACTCAGGAGGCGGAGGCAGGAGAATCACTTGAAACCGGGAGGTGGAGATTGCAATGAGCTGAGATCATGCCACTGCACTCCAGCCTGGCAACAGAGCGAGACTCCATCTCAAAGAAAAAAAGAAAAAAGAAACAGCAAGTTTTAAGATAAGATGTAAGAGAACAGGTATAGTTTAACACCTAATATTTGGAAGATTATAAATGTAACTATTAATTGTGATTAATTCTGGTGAGTAGAGTTACAGAGGCTTTCCCTTTCTTCTTTGTGCCCTTCATTGTGGTTTAACATTTCATATTGAAAATGTATTACTTTTATAATAAAAATGAAATAAAAATAGTGTTTCAAGTTTACAAGCCCCGTAGCTTCTTGCTGTCTCTTCACATGGTAGAGTTGCCATGGATCTGATGGGAACTGGATGACGTGGAAGCACTGTGAGGCTCTGTCTTTGATCTTTAAGCTATCTACTGTGTTACAGGCATAACCAGGCCTTTGGAAATCACATTGGCACCTCTATGAGGTCCATTCATAAAACTGCCATGAGCCACCTTGCAAAATGATGACATATGGTCTAAATAAAGTGTCTCTTTGGAGGAATCTAGTCTTGGTTCTCCTACTTACCATCACTGGCACCCTACTTAAAGATTTTCCAAGATATAGTGTGTAGACCAGGCGTCCCCAAACTTTTTACACAGAGGGCCAGTTCACTGTCCCTCAGACCATTGGAGGGCTGCCACATACTGTGCTCCTCTCACTGACCACCAATGAAAGAGGTGCCCCTTCCTGAAGTGCAGCGGGGGGCCGGATAAATGACCTCAGGGGGCCGCATGCGGCCCGAGGGCCGTAGTTTGGGGACGCCTGGTGTAGTGTTGTAAGACTCTTACATAAATTAGTGAAAACTCCCACATAAATTTCTTTGCTGGTGTATGTACCCAAAGCCTTAGAGAAAGGGCAGCTGAGATGGGACAGCACAGAGTGCGTCATGGGGTCCAGAGCCAAGTCCTCATCATCAGACCTGAAGCTCAATTTTTCTATCAAAGAACACATTTGGTGCAGGAGAGACAGACAAAAACCAAACAAACAAACCTCACAAGAACCTATTAGGATCTCTGTCTCTCTCTCTCTCTCTCTCGCTTTCTGTATACAGAGATGTGTGTGTGTGTGTGTGTGTGTGTGTGTGTGTATTGAGTGTGTATATATATACATACACAATATATAGACACACATGCGATACACACATACACACACACACACACACACACACACGAAACTGACAAGCATTGGCAAAGATATAGAGAAATGTAGAGAAAATTGGAAATTTTTCCTCTAACAATGTGGGGAAATTACTGGTAAGAATATACAATGGTGCAGCCAATGGTTAAAAAACAGTATGGCAGTTCTTAAGAAAATTAAGCATAAAATTGCCATATGATTCTGCAATTTCACGTCTGAGTATATATCCAAAAGGATTGAATGCAGGGAATCCAACAGATATTTGCACACTCGTGTTCATAGTAGCATTATTCACAATAGTCAAAAGGTGGAGTGCCCAAGTGTCCAGTGATGCCTGAATGGATAAACTTAAAATGTGGTACACACATAAAATGGAATATTACTCAGCCATAAAAAAGAATAAAGGCTGGGTGCAGTGGCATATGCCTGTAGTCTGCTGCATGAGGTCAGGAGGTTGAGACCAGCCTGGGCAACATAACAAGACCTATCTTTGAAAAAAAAATAATAAAGAAAGAAAGAAAATTCTGATACATGCTATGATGTGGATGAACATGGAGAACATTTTAAGTGAAATAAGCCAGACACAAAATGACTCATGTATGGTTTCACTTGTATTAATATGAAATAGTTGGAATTGTTAAATTCATAAACATAGAAAGTAATCTAGAGATTATCAGAGGGGATAAAGGGAGTTACTGTTTAATGGGTTCAGCATTTCTATTGGGGATGATGAAAAAATTGGGATATTGGTAATGGTGATAGATGCACAACCCTGCGGATGTATTTAAAGCCGCTGAATTGTATGTTGAAAAATGGCTAAAATGGTAAATATTATGTATATTTTACCATAATCATAAACTAAGGATATAAAGAAAAATCCTCATAAGGGACATGAAGACAAAACAGAATGCCAATTTGTTAATTTACACCGATTTCCTTCCTCCTCCAGGTCTCCAGAGCACCATCACTTCCAAGACTGTGACCTGCTTACAGGTCCACTCTTCTACCCCCACAGTCCATGGGCCCACCCTGGGGGCCACGGCTTATCGATCCTTCCACGTATCAGCCCAGGGATCCCTGCAGCTTTCTGAATAAAGGCTGCAAATGAACAAAGTGTGCTTGCAAATCAACATAAAACCAGGCTTTCGATACTGCTTCTCCGCCTGTCTGCTTCCACACTTCTCACTGATGGACTTCCCACCTCCCCTGGGCACCCTGTCTCCTTTTCCATCCGTGCTGACCCTTTGGCTTAGTGACTCAGCTTTTGGATTGGCCACTTGGCTGGGCCCTTGGGCCCTGTAAGACTGAGCTTCCTGTATCTGCTCCCTGTCAACTCTGAGTCAGCCAAACAGCTGAGGTCATTCTCAACTTGTCACCACTGATGGGGACAGAGAGCCAACACTACCAGTCACCCAGGCTGGAAATTTAAGCATCATCATTTCTTCTTTTTCTTCCCAGCCCTCCCATCCCTGCTCACAGGCCAGGCAGTTCCACTCCAGGAATATTCCACCCCAGGTGTACATATTTCCTTCTGAAGCCCCATCCCCATACGGCTTGAGATCGGGGCCCATCATTCCCCCAGTAAACTACTGTCCAGCCTCCTGCCTCACCTCTAGCCTCTAGTCTGTGTCCTCCAGTTCTTTACGCCCTGCTAGAGTGACTGCAAGTCTGGTCGGTGCTGCCTTGCGGAGAAATCTCCACGGGTTCCTATTGCCAGAGAACCAAGTGGAAGCTGTTTGCGGGAATTGTGCCCTCTCACTCTGGCCAGCGCACCACTCCAGCTCAGCCCTCCTCCTGCAGGTCACACTCATCCAACATGATGAGCCTTTTGCCTTTCCCAAGGGCTTTCACCATCCTCCAACTCTGTCCACATTGCTCCTTCTGCCAAGAGTGATCACGTGGCCTGGTTTGCCCAGAACAATTTCTGTCTATGCCTATTGTCTGGTGTAATTGTTAATTAACCACCCTCCCCACCAGCTGCCCAAGTGTCCTGGTTTGAACAAGTTACATGGTCAGATTACATTTGCCCTAATTCTTCACCTGGCAAATCTCTGCTCATCCTCCAAGATCTGCTTTAATGTCAGAAGCTCTGGGAAGCCTGGCCCAAGTCCTGACCTCTCCTTCAGGGCTCCCTCAGCCTGTTATGTATGACTTCATGACCGTATTTACCAGTATGCATGGTTAGGCAATTGTTTACATGTCTAGTCATACCTACTAGACCTTTTGAGTCTTGCATATGTTCACTTAATGTTTGCTGCGGAGGAATGAAAAAAATGAATCCATTAAATAGTTACTAAGTAAGGGCCAGGTGCAATGGCTTACGCCTGTAATCCCAGCATTTTGGGAGGCTGAGGCAGTCAGATCACTTGAGCTCAGGAGTTCAGTGAAAAAAGCGCGCCCCTACCCACCTGGAGCAGGCGGCCAGGATGGCCTTGTGGGCCGGCCGTGGGCCCATCCAGCAACAATGTGATGTCACAGAACTCTGCACCTGCCCCATCTAGGTATGCCTTCATGTCCTGGATAAGAGACGTGCCTGGGGGTGGGCGGGACCCTGAGCAGGTACAGCCTGGGATTCTGGCCTCGAGGCCCCACGGCACTACCTTCCTGCACATCTGCCCGTGTTGCTTCCCTAAACAAAACTTCACCCAGGCAGGAGGCTTCACTGTGGCCCTGAGGCACCATCAGCCACATTCTGTCCTCCCTTGGCACGCTGGCCGACTCAAGCACTGCACCCCACACACAGTCCACCCCCTAGCGTCTCATCTTCCACCCAGCCTGCTGTGCCCCCTTGCTGCCCTCATGATCAAGCCCCCTCCAGGCCCACCACATGGCTTCTGGTGTCTGCAGATGTCACCAAGAGCCAGCAACTGGGGTCAGCACAGACCCCAGGGAGAGCTGGGGGAATGAAGGGGCCCGTGACATTACAAAAAAAAAAAAAAAAAAAAAAAAAAAAAAGACCAGCCTGACCAACAAGGTGAAACCCAATCTCTACCAAAAGTACAAAAATTAGCCAGGTGTGGTGGGTCGTGCCTGTAGCCCCAGCTACTAGGGAGGCTGAGTGAGGAGAATCACTTGAGCCCAGAAGCAGAGGTTGCAGTGAGCCAAGATGGTACCACTGCACTCCAGCCTGGGTGGCAGAGTAAAACTGTCTCAAAAAAAAAAAAAAAAAGTTACTAAGTAAGAACTATGGCTAGGCGTGGTGGCTCACGCCTGTAATCCCAGCACTTTGGGAGGCCAAGGTGGGCAAATCACCTGGAATCAGGAGTTCAAGACCAGCCTGATCAATATGGTGAAACCCCATCTCTACTAAAAAATACAAAAATCAGCTGGGTGTGGTGGCATGTACCTATAGTCCCAGCTACTTGGGAGGCTGAGACAGGAGAATCGCTTGAACCCAGGAGACGGAGATTGCAGTGAGCTAAGATTATGCCACTGCACTCCAGCCTGGGTGACAGAATGAAACTCCATCGCCCGCCCCCCCCCCAAAAAGAACTATGTGCCAGGCACTGCTCTAGGTTCTTGGCAAAAAAATAGATAAACATCCACTCGCTCTTGGAGTTTTAAGTAGGGGATAAAGACAGAAGTTAATTTCCGAACCATTCACTGTTGAGGGTACAGGTTCAGAATTTCCTCTGATTAAGTAGCCTTGCTCCTGGAGCTGGGTCAAGGGCCCAGCTCCCCTTAAACCACAAGGCTATGTGAGGGAAGAGGGCCCCATTCTGACCAAACAAGCATTCTGGGAATAGGGAAGAAGCATGGGGCCAGGCGAGGTGGCTCACACCTGTAATCCCACAGCTTTGGGAGGTAAAGCTGGAGGGTTGCTGGAGTCAAGGAGCTCAAGACTGGCCTGGGTGATATAGCAAGACCTCATCTCTAGAAGGAATTTTAAAAATTAGCAAGGCGTAGTGGCATGCCTGTAGTCCCAGTTACTCCAGAGGCTGAGGCAGGAGATCACTTGTTTACAGTTGTACATACTCAATACTAGTAACCCTTACCATGAAAACTCCTCCACCGCCACTGCTACCTAATTTTTGCTTTCATCAATAAAGATTTTTATCTATCATGATATCAAATCTTTAGAAAAGTATACCCAGAGAGATTGCAATCCTTTAAATGTTAAAAATAGAAACAAAAATCAGGCCTGGCATGGTGGCCCACACCTGTAATACCAGCACTTGGGACGCCAAGGTGGGTGAATCACCTGAGGTCAGGAGTTTGAGACCAGCCTGGCCAACATGGCAAAACTCCATCTCTACTAAAAATACAACAAAAACAAAAAATTAGCCAGGCATGGTGGCGCATGCCTGTAATCCCAGCTACTCAGGGGGCTGAGGCAGGAGAATCGCTTGAACCCAGAGGTTGCAGTGAGCTGAGATCACACCACTGCACTCCAGCCTGGGCAACAGAACGATAATCCACCTAAATAAATAAATAAATAAATAAAAACAGAAATCTAGAGAAAGGAGAATGGCAATAGGGTCTGTTCTTTGGAGGTGGTTCTGACAAAAACAAGACACCAGGAACACTAATCTCATTGCTAGATTGCTTTAGGATTAAGCCCTGCCCTGAAAAGCCCTAAATACCTTTTCTCCTGGGTATGTTATTAAGTCATCTGAGAAAGTCTCAATCCTATAACCAAAAACACATCAAAGAAAGTTTCTTCTCACCATTTTTACCTTGAAAGATGACAGAGTAGCAAGTTTATGGATGAGAATATCAAGTGGGCATTTTAATGGAAACTGGACCAAAAAAAGACGGAATAATTCTTTTGTGCTTTTTCCTTTTGATGCTGGAGTCAAAGCAACCCATCTGGTTTTCTTCGATACTGGGTACTGTGTTAGTGCTCCAGGGAGGCAGAACTCTCTCCATGGAATGATTCATTACCTGTGTTAACTTAAAAGGTGTTGCTCTTCATCTGCCTTCTCTTGTTCCATGGCACCACTGTACTTTAAATAATCTGCCTGCTTCCAATACTGTAGCAGAGTTGTTCTTTCTGCTTTCTTTCCTTTTCTTCTTTCTTTTTTCCTTTTTTGTTAACCTTTGTTATGGAAATTATCAAACATAAAAAAATTGGAAGTGTAAAATTAATATATACATCATCCAGCTTTTCTACATAAAATGTGTATATAGTAAAATGCATGCAAATAAAGAAAAATAAGCTGGGTCCAGTGGCTCACACCTGTAATCCCAGCACTTTGGGAGAATGGCAATAGGGTCTGTTCTTTGGACATGTTCCTTGGGAATCGGAAGTGGGTGGATCACTTGAGGTCAGGAGTTCAAGACCAGCCTGGCCAACATGGTGAAACCTGGTCTCTACTAAAAATACAAAAATTAGCTTACGTGGTGGTACACACCTGTAGTCCCCACTACTTGGGAGGCTGAGGCAGAAGAATCACTTGAACCTGGGAGGTGGAGGTTATAGTGAGGCGAGATTGCACCACCGCACTCCAGCCTGGGCGACAAAGCAAGACTGTGTCTCAAAAAAGTAAAATAAAATAAATAAAGAAGGTTGGGCAAGGTGGCTCATGCCTGTAATTCTAGCACTTTGGGAGGCTGAGGTGGGCAGATCACTTGAGGCCAGAAGTTTGAGACCAGCCTGGCCAACATAGCAAAACCCCATCTCTACTAAAAGTAGAAAAATTAGCCAGGTGTGATGGCAGGAGCCTGTAATCCCAGCTGCTCAGGAAGCTCAGACAGAAGAATTGCTTATGCCCAGGAGGTGGAGACTGCAGTGAGCCGAGATCGTGCCACTGTACTCCAGCCTGAGTAACAAAGCAAGACTTTGTCTCAAAAAAAGAAAAAAGTAAAACGCATAGATTTTTTCATAAATGTATATATCTGTTTAACTGCAACCCACAATTAACATACAGAACATTTCCATCACCCCAGAAAGTTCCTTTGCCATGCCCCAAGTTTGCCAGTTTTCAATACCTGGTCATGCTTGTTTCATTTAGACAAATACCTTACAAATGATTTAGAAGCAAATTTACACATCAGAAATAATTCTCTCTGTAAATATTTTCTTACGTTTCTTTAAAAGATAACCAAAATATTTTTATCACACTGAAATGAACAATATTTTTTCACATTATTAAATATCCAGTCCCTGTGCATATTTCCCCGATTCTTTTTTAATAGATTTATAATTGCTTTATTCACCTTTAATCTAGCCTACTGATTTTGATTTTTTTTTTTTTGCCTACTGATTGAACATCATTCCAGATTAACATTTCCATCTACCATCATGATTATCTTCTTCCTTCCTTCCTTTTTCTTTCCTTTTTCTTTCTTTCCTTTCTTTCTCTTTCTTTCTTTTCCTTCTTTCTCTCTCTCCTTCCCTCTCTTCCTCCCTCCCTCCCTCCCTTTCTCCCTTCCTTCCTTCCCTCCCTCCCGTGTTTCTTGGTGTCTCACTCTGTCACCCCGGCTACAGTGCAATGCACAATCTCGGCACACTGCAACCTCTTCCTCCCAGGTTCAAGCTAGTATTGTGCCTTGGCCTCCTCAGTAGGTGGGATTATAGGTGCACGCCACCATGCCCAGCTAATTTTGTTGTATTTTTAGTAGAGACAGGGTTTCACCATGTTGCCCAATCTGGTCTTAAATTCCTGACCTCAA